GTATCTGGATCTAAGTCCCTTAGATCTAAAGTCTAAGACTTTAAAAAGGCAGACATTTAAGTTGTTAATGTAACTGATAGCCTCTGTCTATAGAAGCAGCTATTTTGCTTTTAAACATAGCATATTCTGTCTCCCAAAATGGGCAATAATTTAACTCACCTAACCCATGTAGCTCTACTTAACGTTTCTATGAATCCAGTAGATTTTTCTAGACCATTACTATCATAAGTGATTTTCAAGAAAGTCATTGTTAACTACCAAGAGTGTAAAAAGGGTTTTACTATATGTAGACAACAACTTCCAAACTTTGAAGTGTACATCATATTCATAGATTCCTTGATAGAAATAGACACTTGGGCTGTGACAATAGAATGTTATTGTTGCTGAGGAAATAACTGATTTTCTATTACTTAGTAATCTCAACTGTCATTTTTTGCAATGGAAAGCTGGTTTCATTACTGTTGCTTGGATTGCTTGACTTGGAGAGTTAATTTTGTTTTTTTTAATCTTTTTTTAAATTAATTTTTTTAAAAGAATTTTTGTACAGAATAAAAACAATACAAATCTAAAGAAAAGGGGGGGAAAGTAAAGGAAAACTGATGAAGGAAGGAAGGAAGGAGCTTCCAATCTTCTTTACAGTAGTTATAAATGCATTTACATTTTATCCTTTCTAAGCTTACATTACAGCTCCCTTCTTTCCATATTGTACCCTTTCTAACCATCAAACCCATAAATCACAAGTTCATTTTTTCCATTTTTAACAAAAAGTCCATAAAGGGTTTCTAGTCACTAACAAATGTAGTTACTGTCTTTTCCCTAATCAAACAAGTCAGTTTTGCCATCTTCTTTTTCTTTGTTCTCTCTGTGGTTATATGTATTTGTGTATCCACCCATTACATACTTAACATCTTTAGGAATACACATGTGACCACCTTAAGACATGAATTTAGGTTTTGTCCTATATGTAGAATATGTTGATCTTCATACTGCCACCAGTTTCTTCATTCTTCTAATAAACCAACACAGCTGGTCTTCTGGAATTTGTTTGAAATTAGAAGTTTCTAAGTGGAAATCGCATCTCCGCATACTATCAGGCTGAGTTGTTGCATTACAAACCAATTGTGCTTATTAAAATAGCAACAGCAGCCATGCAGGCCACGAGGAAAAGGAAATCCAAATCCTTAGAGATGAACTGAAATTTTACAAAATAATTGCAAGCTCTCAACTGTAAAAGTCCTTCAGCCAAGTTGGCTAGAGGAATAAAAGGGATGTGGACACAATTGTAGCCATGCCAGTTGTGTTACTGGGTGGAGTGGTGGGGAGGCTCCAAACATGGAAACTCATCAGCCCTTCAAGGTAGACCAGACTAGCAAACCAAAGTGCTAATACTACTGTTGTTATAAGCTTACAGTAACAGAATCTTGCAAATGTGAATGTGCTTCCCCCTCCCTCCCTTTATGGTAATAAGAACTAGGGAGGGTCTTGTCTGGGATGCTTTTTTGGATTGCAGTTCTGCCCCAGACTTGGGTTTCTTTTACAGGTAATCCTTGGGTTACAACCGCAATTGGGATTGCTAAGCAGCGTCATAAGGTGTGATGTCACATGACCAATTTGCTTAGTGATGGTAATCCTGGTTGCCGTAACCCCAAGACACACGGGTCTCTTAGCAGGAAGTGGCAGGAGTCCCAGGTAAACAGTGCGGGGCTGCTGCAGGATGCTGGGGAAGTGCCGCGGAGGGGAGGCCAGGGGAGGGCTTGGGAGGCCTGGCAGAAGCGACATGTAAATCGGGAGGCCGGGAGAGGCCTGGGAAAGCCAGTGGAGGCTGTGTGCAGGCTGGGGCAACTTACTGGAGTGACTTGAGACCTTCCCTGCTGGCTTCCCCATTGACTTTGCTTGTGGGAAGCCAGCAAGGAAGGTTGCAAATAGCGATCATATGACCATGGCTCCCTGCGATGTAATCATGAGCTGACCACCCGGATTGCAATCTTGTGACTGTAGGGGTGCTGCAATGGCTGGAACTTCAGGGACCAGTCATATGTCCATTTTTTCAGCACCCCTGTAATTTTGAGCCGTTGCTGGACGAATAGACTTAAGCCGAGGACTACCTGTATCCACACCATCTGTATCTTGGTAATGTCCCTCCCTTCCTTCTGTTCTTCAAGGTTATTCCTTCTTCCCATTGCATAACTAGATCTTACCAAGTCTAGAATAATATGAGGTTGACTGGAACTCTGCTAGGAAGAAAATGTTTTTAATTTTTTTTCTCTTCTTTTATTCTCATATTGGCAGGAATGAGCAAATTCAGTCTGTTAGTGATGAATATGCTATTGGATTTTATTGTCCTAAATAAATACAATAATAATGTATTCTATTATAATAAAGCTGATATATAAAGGTAAGTGCTATTAATAATACCAGCGTTTATTACAATCTGAGATTATTGGATTTCAGGTTATAAAGTATTCTTTCTCTATAAAAGCACACCATCTCCAGAGGATTATGAAGCAGCTGCATTATACTGCATATTACTTACATGCAGTAGTTGTTTTAAATTTCTGGAATTGATAATACGGTACTTCATTGGAGAAGGCAGGACTTTAATCCCTTCCTCGCAAACTGGGGGGAAAAAAAGCTTTCAAGCATTCTCTAAACCAGGCGTTAAAACCAAGACTCGTCCTCTCTTAGCGTGTTTCTCGCGGAAAGTGCCCAAGAAGAGGAGTGGCAAGGGTTGAGTAGTTCGCGTGACATAGGAGCCACAAGCTAGGAAAACATATTGCGCGAACCCGACCCGTAGTTCACGATTATGCTGCGGATATGCAAATAAGAGTAAACACTTAGTTCCGAGATACGTTTCCACTGGAGATCAGGCGCGGCTCTGACAGAAGGCAGGACTGCCCCAGAGCTCCAACGAGCGGTCTCGCGCTGCGGAGGAGGAAGGCGGGGCGGAAGGGGCGTCTCCCTGCCCATTTCAGGCCGAGCGTTTTGGCGCGTTTGGCAGAAAGCATTGTGGGTACCGCGGCGCCGGTGGCAGGAGGAGCGGCTGCTATCATGTCGCAGGAAGCAGAGGAGCCTGCGGCTGTGCAGTGCCCTGTTCGGGCCGCGCTCGACCATTTGTGTCAGGAGCTCAATCTGGACGTTGGCAGCGCTTCGGAAGCCCTTCGGGATTTCATGGCCCTGCGGGGCACCTACAGCCTTGAGGTGGGAGGCCGCTTGTCTGTCAAGGAAGGGAGGGTAGCCTGGTGGCCGACTGACCGAATGACTCCTGCGGCTGGTTAGGTGCTCAGGTAGCAACGCATTGCCGGGGCTTCCCTGTTCTTGGGGGCGGGGGGGCACAATCCAAAGTTGGGGCGCGTGGGCCTCGGCAGGAGTCGAGTGGAGCTTGCCCAGAGCTGGGCTCCCAAGCGGCAGTCCCCCAGGAGACTTTTATTTCTGCACCGACTTTACTTTTTAAGCGCTCACGGTGACGCGGGGACCTTCTCCTGCGGCCTTCTGGTTGGGTCACACTAACACGAAATAACGCCGGAAATGATGAACGCTCGCCAAAGATCCATGGAGCTAAGAACGATCATTGACGAGTCTAGGTCTACTGAGATCCATACAAGCCCAATTTAGTTCAATACAGTGAGTCACAGATGAAGTCTGGAAGGGATTTTGACAGGAAATGGCATACCAAGAGAAAGATGGTCTGAACTCCTTTTTGTGCTGTTTATTTGAATGTTTCCTTGCAGATGTTATTAAAATACTGTCTCAGGAGGAATTACTGTCCAGAAATAGAATGACTAGCTTTTGAAATAAAAGCTGTCTTCACATGATATAATCAAGCACAAAGTAGTGAATTACAACTTAGGCTAATAAGTTATGTGAACCCAAACTGTATGGCTTATGGTTCAATATGTTGTATGAACCTAGAAAACTGGGTTATTGAGTAAATCAATGTTTTTTACACTGTTCTAAATTATGGAACACCAAACAAGATACTTTTAAAACAAAGGAACATTTATAATTGTTTCAATTATTTATAGTTTTTTTTGTGTGTCTCCATAAATAAATACAATTTTCACTTCATATGTTTTAATGGGATGTATGAGCTGGCATAGTACGACATATTTCCTTGGCATGTCACATAAGATATGTTAAAGAGCTGGTGTAACTTTTAGTTTATTTTGGTATTTATTTTTGGTTGTGGTAAATACTGAAAATTCATTTTAACAAAGATTTGTTGAAGTAAAAGTTACTGTAATCTTCAGTATCATCCTCTGAGCTTTCATTTCAAAGTTTTCCAACTTTTATTTTTGTTTTCCTACTGTTTTAGTGAGATATCTTAAGATACCTGCTAAATCTCCTCTTCATTCATGGGCATGGTAGTTGTTTGGCTAGTGAAATAAAGGAATTTAAAATCCACAAAAGAAGTTTAGGTGGATTTTGGGACCAAATAAAGTACCTTCAAGCTTTATAAAGAATATTGGTGTTCAATGGGAACATGATTTAAGAAACATTAATGAATTATAGATAAACCTTCAAAAACATGGGATAGCCATGATAACAGGCATGAGGCTCAAATGTCTGCTAATGGAATAGATAGGTAGCCTGAGCTGCTGGAATGGTGGCCTCATGGGACAGAATGTCAGTTGTTGAACTGGATAAATGCCCCTTGGGAATAGAAGGATGGGGTTGAAAACTGAATGATAGATTTTTTGGGGGGGAGGCTAAAATAACAGGGCAGGGACTGTTGGTTTCTAGTACTAGAAAAGCAGGGCTAGGACTCTAAATGGCAGGTTCTGGTTTGATATAATGGTATCTAAGGGCTTGAATAAAAGGTTGGAACTGGAATGATGACATAGTTGCCAATTGTCCAATATATTCTTGCTGGCTGAAAAGGTTTGCTAGACAGCCCCAAGATCTTAATTGGCTTAATTCCCTATCTGCCCTGCAGCTCCCTGCAGTCCCTTAAAATCAGTCCCAAAAAGCTGCAGTAATTTCTATGGCAGATCTTGAATGAAACAAAAAATAAAGGAGAAAGAAGAAAATTCCATAGGAAGTCTGCCTGCGTTATGGTAGATTTTCCCTAATAGATCGGCAGTATTACTTGTGGGTGTTATATTCATTTAATACAGTTCTGACTAGATAGCACTTAAGTGTGTCTAACAGTAAAAAAAACTAGCAGTTAAAATACAGGTGTTTGATAACTTTACAGGTATTCCTAGCAAACAATTTGGCTTTCATTTAAGACAGTAATTCTTAAGTTGGTTTAAAGGAACCCTTTCATGTGACTGTCATGATATATTTATGCATTGCTAAGAATTATGACACATTCAGAATTCAGTTGAAGAAACTGAAATAATTGGCTTTTTTGTGTGAGATGCTGTCACAGCATTTTGACTACACCATCATTCTTTGTAAACTGGCAATGTTATGTCAGAATGTAGTTAATATATCTTAACGGGAGATCTTTCAGACGTACTTGCCCCCTCCCCTAGTGGTTTTGTCCAAGGGGAGTCCAAAGATAAGTTTCAAGAATTTACTTTATTTCACCCAATAATCAGAATTCTTCAATCAGAATAGAAAGCTGCTTAAAACAATAAAATGAACAATAAAAAAGTAAAATACTATTGAGAATAAAAAAATACTTGTGTGAAGTGAAATAACTTAGTATGTATTAAAGAAGTACATATTAAGCTTTGCATTTAATTTTGTAAATTAAATACATTATTAACCTTCATTTTTATCTACCAAATCAGGATTATTATTATTTTATAAAGCTTCTTGCAAATGTAAAAGATTCAGATTATAATCAGCATTGTTAATCCTAAACACTGTAAATTACTTATTTTTGCAGGGAGACATTGTACATTGGTTGGCTTGTGCTCTATATGTTGCTTGCCGTAAAAGTATAGTGCCCACTGTAGGAAGTAGTTTGGTGAAAGGAAATTGTGTCTCACTGACCAGAATTCTACGTTCAGCGAAGTTAAGGTATTGTTAATTTTAAAAAACATTCTCTGTGCTATTCTGGTCTAAAATTGCAATAGAAATATTAAATTCAGTTCAAACCTTGTGTGAATGAAGGCTTACTCTTATTATCTAACCCTGAGATAAGCAACACGGTGCCTTCAGCTGATATGACTAACAATTCCACCTGGTATCTGCAGTCTGGTTAATATAATCATTACCATAATTATTTAATAAGCCAAAATCAAGCCACATTTTCACCATTTTTGTTGTGAAGTTAATATCATGGTTTCGTAAACAGTCCCATGTAATGCATTTTCTGTTTCTTATTAAGGATCGTAGGTAGCATGGAAAAGCGGGGTATAATAATTTATTAACTGAGATAATGGATCACACTAAGCCACGGCATATTCTAAGCAATAAGCAACAGTGACTGGCTTTATGGCAAGACCATTAACCCGTAATTGATAAGTCATAATAATTAAATTCATACAATATGCTAAGCCAAAAGCAAATAAAATTATGGCTTGAGGTCATTGTTAAGAATAGCACAGAGGCCTTGACCTTGTTTTTCACTAAACATTCCAAAGAAAGAATAATATAATGGTTAATATATTAGAAACAGATGATTTAAATTCAAAATCTAGTGTAGCTATTTATAATAGGTGGTTTGGCCAGGTAATTAGCTATTAAGCCATAATGTGATTTTTCTGTTTTTGACTTAGTGTATAGTCTGAATCCAGCCGTTTTTAGTGTATTCAATAAACCATGGTTTAACAAATCAAGGCTTAGTACATTGAATGATCAAATCACTATTTCTTACACTAGTCTATTTTACAGGATTATAATTGGCTGGTTCAGATATTCATGTTTACCTAATGACTATGACATTAATATAGTGCCTTCATGATATTTCACATCCTTTTAAACACAGCAGTTTTAGTGAAGTCTGCTTGCACTTTCAGCTGTGTTCATTAAATCATACCAAGTGATGTCTATATTTAAATGCATTCTAAATGAAGTACGAGTTATAAAATAGACTGAGAATGTCTACAGAAATTAAATAAAGCTATAATTTAATTTTGTTTTCTTTTAAGCTTAATTCAGTTTTTTAGTAAAATGAAAAAGTGGATGGACATGTCAAACCTGTGTCAAGAATTTCGAGAGAGAGTGGAGAAGTTGGAGAGAAACTTTGAAGTGTCCACAGTAATATTCAAGAAGTATACCCCAATCTTTTTAGATATATTTAAAAATCCTTGTGAAGAACAACCTAAGTTTCAAAGAAGCAGGAAACATAGGTAAAGTATTCAGAGGCTTTGAGGTATTTTAGATTTTGTGTTACTAAAAAAACAAAATGATCAGTGGAGATATAATCTTACATAATTCCTCTGGTGTCTTTCTTGACAGACTCCAGGCACATTCTTCTCAATAAGGTACAGGTAGTCCCCAGTTTAAGAACAAGTTCCATTCCCAAGGTCTGTCCTTAAGTCGAATTTATATGTAAGCTGGAATGCATTTGTATGTGTAATTAACTTGAACCATTGTTTATTT